TTTAATCTGCACTCCTTATTTAATATTTTTTTATTTTATTTATCTGGCGAATTATTAGGATATTATACACGTAGCTGTGATTATTTTTATTTATTGAAAGTCTTTTCTATATAATTCTGCAAGAAGGATAACAAATCATGCAGCAAACAAATATTATCGTCCAACTCATTGTTATTGTTACAAGTTTAAAGTTAAAAATAAGCCTTCCGCCTTAAAAATAATATATTTACTGTAGTTGCTTTATTATCATACTACGCTTTACGTACGATACTCATTTTCCTTATCATTATCACACTTTTATATACTATCTTTCTTATTTTCTTTTATTACCTCATTCTCCTCATAGCTTGTGATTTCGCTTAATAATTATATAAATTTCTTTTTCGTGAGAATTATTGGAAAGTAAGGAGCGGGAATATATATAGTGAAACAACCCCGCATGAGGGAAGGGTTTACGAGATTCTTTGTATATAATTATTTGTTAAAATAGGTACAAATAAATAACATATACGTTCCTTAACGATTATACATTAACCTGTATTAAATTATAGTTACCCTGCATAAATCAGCTTTATTATAATTATGTTAATTCCATATTCCCACACTCTCTTAATGCTACGCACAACTATCTAGATAATCAACCAGGCAAACCCATCTATGTTAATGGTCTAGAGCTAAAAATCGACGATATGATTCAGAAGCTCTTCCCCAGGTCACAATACATCACTAGATCTACTGTACTGTATAATAGTATTAATTAATCTATGAAATAATGCATTTACTAGGCAAATATTTTTTGGTTTATACAGTAAATAAGGTTTTAAAATCTTTTTTTTTTAGAGATACAGTCACATTTCAACTTTTTATTGTTATGAAATTAGAATGTATTACTAGGAACGGAGTGCAACGAAGTGTATGGTTATAAGGGGAGTGAGTGTAAATCGCACTTTTAATTGGTTACTTTTTATGTGGCATTACATATAGACTTGTCCGGTGCATCTATAATTGTGCATATGTGCAAGTGTATTGTAAATGCACACGTACGTAAGTACGTGTTATACGTATTCTCAGCTGGTCAGTTTTGCTGATAAACATACACAGGTTAACATATGAGTAAGGTTAGTAACTTAATTCATTAACTTATTTATGTACTGATTTTTATGTGCATAATTATGATTTTACTACAAGTAACTGCTGGTGATCATCACTGCCTCTTATTTTTAGGATTAGTGAGGTTATATATAATAGTCAAATTTTAGTTAGGGGTGGGTTCTGAACATTTTTGCTTAGTATCCCTGGCATGAATTAGCTAGTAAGTTTTTGAGATATAGCACCCAGGTGATAATCACCACCGGTTATAGTTAGTGAGGCTCTACTTGAGGCGTTATTTGGCGAGTTTACTTCTCTTTATTACACTATTCTTTGTCACTAACTCTAAACACTAACAATCCGTTATTTAATGGAATCTTTATTAGGATCTTTGGCCCTTCCCGGTGCCACAAAAGATCCCCCTACATCAATTGTTTATACATCTACTTTTATAAATTTAATGAAACCAACTGATCTATCTAAATTAGGACTTTACCAGTTTTCCTCCGTCATTTCCCACTTCAATTATTTTCAGTACTTCCATTTCGCCATTTCATCTCGCCATTCTGAAACCTTGGGCTTTTTAATTTGGTTTATTCTCGATTTGGTTATACATATGCGTTGATCATTCGATTATGCATGTTTCGGTTCGATCGGTTCCTGGGGCGTGATCGTCGATCGGGGTCACACGTTTTCTGGGTCCTGATTGTGTATTTATACTGGTTTTGTCATTATAACTGGATCCTGTTTTTTTTCGTATTTTTTAATAGTAAAAAGAAATTGAATTTTGCGCGATAATGATAATGAACCTATTTGTTATCATTTATTGAAACAATTTACTTTTTGAGCAAATATAATGAAGCCTATTAATCATACGTGGTAATTAATATAGTAAAATCGGTACTTTGTTGACTTTTGATTTACCTGTTAAGAATTAAACTTAAATTAGCATAATATGACTTGAATAAATCAATAGCTTAAACTGTAATTGTTATATACAATAAAAGCGATATTAATAATGTAATAATAGTAATCGTGTCAAATAATACACGGTGTAATAAATTTCATGCAAGAGTTCATTTTTGTATTCTTCTATTTATTAATTTAATATATCATATGGGCCGATTTGACTAATCATTTAATATTTGCAAATAAGATCTTCAAACTTGCGCCAATCAAATAAATTTGTTCTATATAAAATTTGTGATTATTGCGATTTTCCCTACACTAAAAATCAATTTTACGATCAGATGATTTCTAAACTAATCATAAACAATTATCTCTCTTGAATCTATGGGTTTTAGATGGTTTTTGTTGAAATGAGTAGAAATGGGCAGAAATAGGTAGAAATGAGTGAAAGGTATTGAAGCTAAAAATACTAGGAAAACGGATACAGTCCCGAAGCCGAGAATAAACATCGGGCTGATCTGTGTCGATCTCTATAGCTGATTGGCTAGTAGGTGTACACGCGACTGGAATCCAACACAAAATCATGTCCAATGCTATACTATAGAGTCCTCGCTACGCTTTGGACAATTAGCTTTTGATAAGATTTTATATCAGGTGTTCTGTCTTTTATCCTTTTTAATATCCTCGTACTTGCAAAACACTTTTCAAAGTTTTTAGGCTAGCGTGCTAAATATATGAATTACATAGAAGACTAAGAAACAAATTTTTGGACTATGTATTCTGGAAAAAATATTTGTAAAAGTATCTCAATTTCGAAAACGATAGCTTTTAATATTCATTTACTTAGAGACTTTTCCTTTTACTAGAATACGAAGGGGCAAGATTTTGAGCTATCGCAATTTTCAAGAAACATGTTTTTTTAAAATTAGACTTACTATGTTATTTTAATAAATTTATTTCTTATATAGAAGAATTATATACTGCATTATTAAAAAGCCTTAAAAATTATCTTTCGTGTAATAAATTTGTTTGCAATTTTATAACATACATATCAGATATTTACAGTATTAACGCCATAATACTTCTAAATCCAATTATCACATCATGTGATATAATTGAATGGAGTCAAATTCACTCATATGTTACGAAAATATGTTATGACATTAATCACGCAAATGGTCGAAGTGTCGGAATAATACAGTGAAACCTTCATAAATGCACGCTCTTGGGACTAAATTTTAACAACATGCGTTTAGAGATCAATAAGAAAAAGTGCATTTATAGAGGTCATGCATATATTTGGACAGAGAATGGGCGTGCATTCATAGAGGTTTCACTGTACAAATTTAAACAGTAATTGTCATAATATAGCATGATCATATTTCAACTTTTTCCCACACTTAGATCATATTTCTTTGAATATGTTCAATCAAAAACGTTAAAGTGTAAAAGCATTTACAATAAACAAACCAATCAGATTTCATAAAGGGTATAGAGAAATTTATTATGAAAGAGCACATTTTCTAAAACCTACTATGATATTATGCTAATCCTTATATTAATAAGTATTAGCAAGTGCACTTTTTTATATTGTAGGCTTTAGCGATCACGATACTAATATGCTGCTCAATTATCGATATATATAGGTACGTGTACGCACTAGAGTTGCAGGTGAAACCAATTAATTTCACAAAAAAACTGGTGCACCAATTTCACCTACGCACATACATACTGACAACTACCAATAGTTTTGATTGAAATCACAAGTCATAATGTAGTATTTTTTGCATAGCACGATATACTGTATGAAATGTCTTAATCGTATAAATATAAAATCGGTACTAAAAAATTGTTACTAAAAAATCTGCACTGAAAAATCGTTACTAAAAAATTGTTACTAAAAAGGATTAATGAACATCAAAAAGATGAACAGAACCTGTTGTTTGAAACCATAAGCCATGACTTATGTAGAGGGTAGTTCTAACCCATTAAATACTTTGGCAGGACAGGATAGTCATGACGGTTTTACCACAGAATCCCGACATCCAAAATTCCGACACTCAAAATCCAGAAAATCTCGAAGGTCCAAAATCCCATTAGGTTAAAATCCTGACAATACCAAAACTCTGATATCATATTGAAATTTTAGTATCTTCGGGATTTTGATACCGTCTGGATTACGAATTTCGGGATTTTGTGCGTCGGGATTTTAGATGCCGGTAATTTTTTATTTTATTAGTTTGCGCGATGAATACTTGGATCCGGATTTAATCATTTATATCCGAATTTAATCATTAAACTTGGATTTAATTGTAAATCCGTATTTAATTATTAGATCGGATTTAACAATGATATCTAGTATTGTCACTATATATCTGAAACAGAACAGATTCGTGAGTGATGTGCCTGCATATTTAAATCCGGATTTACATATATCCGGATCTACTGACTAAATCCGATCTAATGATTAAATCCGGTGTTATCGTTATGCCCAAATTTTTATTTTTAGTTAGTGTAATATCATTCTACGTCTCATCATTTTATGTACTTCTTATTCTGGTATAGTTTGTGGCATAGTTGGGTGATTGAAACCCTGACGAGGGATAATAATTCTCAACGAGGGATAATAACCCTCAGCGAGGGATTGAAACCCCATATGAATTAAAGTGTAGTTTCAGTCTGCGAAGGGGAGAATACCTGTTAGAACGATTGATAATAGCATTTGGTATTATTGTAATGATCCGGTGTATTGATTTATGTTAATAAAGAGAAACCTTATAACCTGCAAGTATGTGTGTTGGTTTATCAATTTAAACCCTTTAATCTTACGCACCATTTGTTCACGATCGAAGCTAAATTGGTTTAACCGGATATAAATGGTTAAATCCGGATCCAAGTATTAACTCTAGCGCAGCTACCTTATTTAATATAAATAAGTCTAGAAAATGCGTATTAAAAAGTTTGATCATAATTCTTTTTTTTTTTTTTTTTTGTAAACAATAATGTCAGAATTAATGGTTAAAAGAATCATTTTGCGTTTTTGTTTATTATTTTTTCTGGTCATGGTTGTTAAAACCTCACCAATTAAAAAATCTAAAAGAATTGATCTTAAATCATGTCTCTATCCTATCAAAGGTCAAATGGTATTCCCTGATGATCCACAATATATTCAAGACATTAAGGATGAGAATACTCGTGTAACTTTTCATCCTATAGTGATTGTATACGTAGCTAACGTAAATGATGTGCAAACTGCTATCAAATGTGCAAAGTCTCTAAACCTAACTATTAGTACAAGATCAGGAGGTCATTCCTATGAAACGTATAGCACCTTCGGTAATTTGGTTGTGGATGTCTCAAATATAAATAATATTAGTATAGAAAATGAAGAAAAGACTGCAATCATAGGCTCAGGTAATAGATTAGGACAAATTTATTACAATTTAAGCCAAAATGGATTTTTGATTCCTGCCGGATCTTGTCCAAGTGTCGGTATAGGTGGTCACGCCTTAGGTGGTGTAAGTGTCTCTTATTTTTTATTTACCATTATCACTATATATATAATTTATCTATAATATATTTACAATAACAATTACCTTATAGGGATTTGGGTTATATTCAAGAAAATTTTCAATCGTTTCGGATAATATTCTTTCTATTGATATGGTTAACGTTAATGGTGCATTGATTACGGCTAACGCAAATGAAAATGAAGATTTATTCTTTGCCCTTCGTGGTGCTGGCGGTAATAATTTTGGAATCGTAACATCATTTACTTTTAAAATTCATCCTGTTCCTCCTAAAGTCACGTCCATTGCATTTTACTACGACATCGATGAAACTCAAACCCTTTTCGATACAATTAATGAACTTGGTCACACTTTAACAGATGATATAACGTTTATGGTAAACTTGAATGCAACTTTTTTACAGCTTAATGGAGTTTATCTAGGAAATAAAGAGAATGTACAAAAAGCTATGGAAAAATTTATATCAAAATCAAAACCAAATTCAACTAGATATTATGAAGAACCATTTTTCTCAAGCGTTGTAAGATGGAGTGATGATTCATATGAAAGAACTATAAAACCTATTATTCAACCTTATAATTTTAAAGTTAAATCATTTTTTGTAAAATTACCCGGACTTTCCCATGAAGGTATTCAATCCCTTAGAAATTTTATTTCAACAGCTCCTAGCGATTGTCCAACCCGTGCGATATTTGATCTATATGGTGGTGCGGTGAATAGGGTTGCTGCGAATGAAACCGCATTTGTGCATAGAGATATATTATATGGAATTCAATTATTAATGAATTTGAATGGAAATTTAGCAACAAACAAGAAATGCGTTGATCAGATTAATAACTTTGGTGTTAATTATCAAAAATCATTTACTGATTATAGTAGTTATCAGAATTATATTGATAGAGATTTGGATGATTGGCAAACTAAGTATTATGGTTCAAATTTTCCAAAGTTAGTCGATATAAAAAGAAAGTTTGATCCAGATAATTTATTTAGTTTTCCTCAAGCTATTTAAAGTATTGATAATAATTATATTTTAAAAAAATTATAGAGAGTTTATATATAGTATTTATATAGTATTTATCTGATAATTTGGCAAATCGTGCAGCTGAAAATAACATGCATTTTTGAACTTCATTATGCACTAATTAACAATTTAAGTTTAATTAAATTTAAGTACTAAAATATTTAATAAATTACAGAACTTGCAATATATAGTTATCGTGCTTAAATAACCTTTTTTTACATGATGCTACTGGCTTTTAAGCGTGAATAATGCAATTAGTTAAATACGTATATATATAACGGACCAATTTATTTTGATTGTAGCTTTTATACCGTAAAGTGCCATACGGTAGATCCCCCTATGAGATATACCCTGTGATGATTTGTGAGCTTAAATTTGATTTATATCCGAGTACAATCATGTTAAAGTTCAATGAATAATACCCTATGCTTTGGGGAATACCCGGGTGCAATTTTCGTACAATATACTCTTCTACTTAAGTATCTGGTCTTCTACTTAAGTATCTGGGTACAGCTTAAGAAATTATTTTCTGCAATTATACCCTGATCAATACAATATGCCCCTACTTAAGTACAACGGGTACATCTCAAGACATTGTAAATATCCGGATACAATAGTTGGCACTTTACGGTAATAGCGAAATTATTTCGACATTCCTATAAAAAAAATTTCTTGAAACTGTTCGAAATTATTCGATTTTTTGTTCGGAAAATCGACTTCGTTTCGAACATTTAAAGTTAAAGGATGTTTACTGAATGAATGCGTTTTTTATACGTTTTTTATACGATAATTTTCAATTAAAAATTTTCTATTTTTTACATCCCGTACAAACGTTGTTATGAAAACAGTACAACATAAACCCTGTTCGGAAAATCGACTCCGTTCCGAACATTTTTTTGGACAATGCCTACAATAACTGTATAAACTTTTTTTATGGGGCATGTTGTGCACGATTTGTATGTAATTGAAATTCGCATGATTTAGATTTCGCTTACTATTAGTGTGTCTGGTGTCCATCTCTTCATAATAGCAGTCATCAAGATGTCACCTAATTTTTATAAATTACACAAATCGACGAAATCACGTTTTAAAAATTTCTCCCAAAGCCTTAGTTATAACACATAAAGTTCCTTTAGAAGAATAAGTTGCCAGGGCCTCAATCAGTGTTTATTTTTCACGTGCACAAAAATGTGCGCAAACTACCCCAACAACTGAAATCTGTGCCAAGTTAAGCATGTTGCCGATCATAGTTCGTCAATTAAGTTACATACATATTAATATGGAAGATAATTCGAAAGTTTTCTAAAACTTCTAACGATGTTTTCTCAATAACTACATGATCAAATTTGGTAAAAAATTTTTATTTAATTATATCGTCTTGTATAATTAAAATAAAAAAAAGTTTATTGAATTTGATTTAGTAGTTGTCAAAAAATCATCTTAAAACACTTAAAATATTGTCACGGGATCCGTGACATTGAAGAATCTTTGCTGAAACCTTCGATTTTTGCTAAATATGTTTACAAGATTGCTACAATATTGCTACAATGTAATTACAATA